TACCTTTACAGTGATTTTGTTTTATTTTCATCATCAGACATATATAAGACGGAACAGTAAAATCAGCAAATTTTTAAAATTTTTTTTTACAATTAAAAGTATGGACAATGTGTGTTCTTACAGATAAATGATACATCATTGAACCATAGAGTATGTATGCCTTTTCCCTTGTGTCCGCTTCCTCACTTCTTCTATGGATGTTGCGGATACAACAATCGGCTACAAAATTACTTCTCGCTCCCTCTAGTAGTAGTTGCTCTGAGGTCGTAACACCCTTAGATATACCAGCATAGCATGATACACATTGTTACGGGCTAAAAGTACCTTCCTTACTGAGCAATATATTTAAAATTTACATTAGTTACCTTTTTTTATGATTCTATCATATTTTCAATCATATAAATATTTAAATTTAATTAATTCCATACCTCAATGCGATTCATGAGTCAAAATAAAACAAATAAACTTTATTTAATAAAATATATTTGCATAACTATAAATTTTATATGCTATTTTTCGTTAAGAATCCAATGATTTTGGCTGGTTCTTTTGGCCCATATTTCATTTCTAAAATAAAAGAAAATATTAATTAAAAATATTAAAATATTGTAAACAAACAAATATAACCTTGTCTAAGAATTGTCATATTCTTCCTTGTCTCTTCTTTTAATTTATAATTTGTCATTAATTCTTAAAACAGAAATTTCTCTTATATCAATTAAAAGAAGAAAACAGGATACCAACTACAACAATTTATTCATAAAACTTCACGGCAAATATTAGCAAAAAAGTGGTTCTTGCCTTTTTTGCATTAAGCACATTTTCTGAGAAAAAATCGTGCCCGCATTTTGCGGATTTTCTTCGAAAAATCTCATATTTAGTGAACTAAAAGATTTTGTGTTAATACTAAAAAATAATCTCACCATTGTGGATAAAAGTGCCGAATATTTTTTTTATGCATTTGTCTTTTCACCCGATTGGTGACGTTCATATATTATCTATTTGCTTTGATTTTATAAAATTAATGTACCAATTAATCTAATTTTATTAATATTATTTATTAACTATTTCTTTCTAGAAATAAACTATATCTTATCGTAAGTTGTTAAGCAATTACTAAACTTAATTTATTGCTTTTCAAGCTCTTTAAGCCTTTAAATCTTCAGATTATCTTCGATTTGTAATGTCTTTTCAAACTACCTAAAATCCTTTATATTTATATAAAATAATATTAAATTTATATAATTACTCACCTGTTTATATTCCAGTTGTGCTTATTTATTTGAAACTATAAAATGTATATCTACTCTCATCACTTAATAGAAAATATTCCGCACTATTTTTGTTTTTTTTTTCTTTTAAAGAACCCGAATCTGTTTTAAAAGCAACCAAAAACTGTTTTTAATCCAGTACAACATACTAATGGTGTGCTGACTATCGATTCAAAATTCGTCCAAACCGCGCATGACGTAATGCGGGACGAACTTTCAAGTTATTTTGATACTTTTCGATTGAATAGTGTAAAATAATTTAATAGTTTATTTGGTTTTGTGTTAGTAGTGACTATATTTTCCTGTATATAACAGGAAAGAACTAAATTAATGTTTAAAATGCCGGTCTGCGCGGTGGAGATATTTCTAAATGCCACAAAATATGGGAAAATTCTTATCGAAGAAAGGACAAACTTAATTAAAGTTGCCCTATCCACTTTGGGGATTGTGAGATTCCTCTTAAACATAGACGGAAGAAAAGAAAACTAAATTTCACCAGGTGCACGGGTCTCATTAGGCAAAGAAAATAAATCGGTATTTTAAAAATTTAGCAGATCAAATAGTAGTTTCCTGTCCCAATACAACGGTTCTTTTGAAGTAATACCATGCATGAGCAGTACACGAACACATATAATAACAAGATAAATGAACCGAAAAATTGATTTTAAGTATTTTCGAAGTAAACTTGACAAAAAATGTTTAAATTAACCAAATAAAAAGTATTTTTTTTGTGTATTTACTTTTTATGAATAAATAATTTGTTCCTGTACACTTACTTTTATTTCACATAATAATAAAAGAGTTTGCAAGAGAACTACCATGCCCAGAAAGTACAAATTTAAGTCAAACTTGTATTTTTAGTCTATAATTTTTACTTATCTTCTGACAAGGTCATGAATTTTGTAACAAAATACCTATAATTTATGAGAAAAATTAATATTTTTATTACTATTATTTACCATAAAACTTCATATTTGTAAACGAATATATTAAAAAGTAACCATTAAAGCTTAAGTAACTGCTATGAAGACTAGACACGTCAATTGAGCTTTTATAATTAACCGCATGGGCGCTGGTACTGTTTACGTAGTTCAAAATATATGGCTTCTTATGGGAGTTATACATTATTTTGTAAAAATAATAAAAATAAACTTGTTTGTAGCTAAATAAAGCACAAAACATACTGTTGTATTTTTTTTCTAAATAAGTCTTACTTATTTTAATTGATACATTATTTACTATTTATTCCTATTTAAGACAAATGCAAATTATTGATGATAAATAAGTGTTGAAATTTGATGGAAGGGGCTAATTATTTTTTAATTAAAGCTAAATAGGGCTGAGGGCATACTAATACACGGTTTAAATAAAAATATTTAGTTAGGGATTTTACAAAATTTTATGAAAATAATAGAATCAAATAGTTTATTGCCAACTAAAGTACAGAAAATACTGTTGATTTTAATTATTGTAAATAAGTCTTTGTTTTAATTGCTAACTAAAGTACAGAAAATATGTTGGTATTAATTATAAATAAGTCTTTATGTTAAACAATATTTACTATTCATTATTTAATTTTATCTAAATAAAATGAAAATTAGGTATGACCAAATTTGAAAAGGTTTGTTAAATAGTGAAATTTAGTAAGTACAGTTTTGTGGTAATTTTGTATTCGACAACTAACAATGGTGGCATTTAATTTGTTCTTAAAAGTGGCAAAACGCTTAAATAATATAATTAATGAATAATTTCTAATTCCTCTTACAAAATTATGAAAATTACTTTCTCATATCCCCAAAGAGAAAAGAAATTAAAGAAAAATTGAAAAGATCCGGTCGTGCAGGCATTTGTTCTTTCTTTATTTCTCAGTTTTTTCAGTTTTTAGTCTGTTGTCACTTTGGGGATATGAGTATGTAATAATTTCGTAGGGGAGTTAGGGTTTTTTCATTTTCATAATTTTTAAATCTAAATTACAAATACATATTTACAATTGTGATTGCTTCCGTAGACACCTACTTTTTTATTTTTTAGCTTCATCAATTTTATTAATTTGTTTTCAAATAAAATGCATTCTACTGATTAGGTAAAAACGAATTATTGCAGATGTAATATTTTCTTTGTGTTCATCACACCCTACACCCTACAAATAAAATGCCCATTTCTTCAATTTTATTCAAGATTTCAAAACGAGTTTCTTGATGAACTGGGTTTCTTGATAAAACCTCTAAGATAGTCGATTCCAGCATTGATATTAAAGAAATTAGAGAATGAGAAGGGTATATTAAAAACCCTTTACTTATTAACGTAATTAATTGATCTTTAGACTGAGGCTCAATACTTTTTAATTGTCGAATGCAAGTTTTACATTTTATAAATCTGATAGCTTTTCTTGCAATGTATCCAGAAACGTAAGATAAAATAACTGGAGAGGTTTTTGTAATATTGTAGTCATGATCTTTTAAATTAGGTGGTTTTCTTCTTTTCCTAATACTGGACAAGTATGAAGGAAGATATATGGTATTGCTTCGTTCTTTAATCTCGGCCTTTCGCTTTTTATTTTGTTAACAGTACCATTAATTAAAATAGTCTCATCAAATTTTAAAGTATCATCTTCTAAAAAAGTGTAGCTCGCAAACAGAATCATAACTAGACAGTACTTTATCAGCCCTAGGAATCACATGCTGCCATTGTTCTAAACGTTTAGGATTCTATAAAAAATATTTGCAATGACTAAATTGGAGTTCAATAAAGAAAAATAACAGTAGTAACTCTTCATCTAACATCAAAAAACATAAAAAAAGCAAATTTTCTTTTCTAGTAAGTTAAATTTAATGTGAAATTATTGTTGTTTGTAAGTCAGGATTTATGACTTTATTTTTTATTATAGAATTTTGTAATTAAATAAACAACACTCCGTAAGATACGGGTTGTGACTATTTTACAATAAATATATATTATTTAGAAATAAATACAGTATTTAACTTGCACTAGGAGCTTTAGAAAGACTTGGACTTTTATCTCCTTGTGATTTCTTTAATTTTATATCGGATTTATATCCCGTTTTGCAACCCGAAACGAAGCAAATCCTGCTTTGTCGTTTTTTGTTACTCATTGTTACTTGTAGTCAGGTTCTTTATTTCAGCTTATTTTTATTCCTTTCACTAAATTTTACAAAAATCACTTTAATTCCCATTGTCTTGCATAGAAAATAGACATCGTTATTTTGCCACCCGCCAACTACAGTAGTTTTTTGAAACTCCATTAAAATAGGTACGGAAATTTAAAATTTGACCAAGGCCGATTCGCCTCCTTATCTCTAGTCTTCATAGTAACTGCATAAAATCTAAAATTGGCAAAATATCGAATTTTAAACACTATCTCCCATTTAATGCTTATATTTCTATGTCCTACGTGACGTCACCATCAGTCAGCTGCATGCGCAGAACATACCGTTAGTCTGTGTATCGTGCCAGCATAGTAATTTACGAACCGTGTGGATTGGGTTGAGTCACGGTTCGTTACCGTGTGGTTATTTCTGACAATTTTAAAAATTGTTAGCAACTTAGATTTTTTGCCATTAATTTGTTGATGTCATAATTCCTAAATATGGAGTGGTACCCATAGATCTCGTGGTATCTTACTCCATAATCGTAAATAAAACATTAATTTAAATTAGACTGACGGAAAGTCATTAATATACATGGCTACATTTTTAAATTAGTTATGACAGTTTCTACTAACCTGCAGTCTGAAGTTTATGCGTATTTCAAGCTTCCATCCATTTCTTTTTGTATAAATTTACCTTTACAATACATGGCAGACGGGATAATATTAATCCACTTTGGATGATATTTTATAATTTGCCATATCAGTGTATTGTCAAACGCAGTATTCTTTAAATTTTGAGTTATTTTACTTGTTAACGTATAAAAACTAAACACACTTAAGGACATACGGGAGTAAATTATATTACCCGGTCTCCCCGATCTATTAATTCTGTCACTGACGTCCGTTTTGTCAAATCTCAATTTTGTCGGATACAATTTCACAAGCTTTAAGAAACTTTTTGTAACATTTAATTATATTCGTCAAATTTTTCACAATGAAGTACATGGAGGAATTAACGCCAGAACAAAAATTAGCTTACCATATCAAGATTATTCGAAGATTTAGGGTTATCATCAAATTAGTAATAGCTAACCTATTCTGGATTAGTGATGTCGGAGATACACAATTAACTTCGAACGTGAGGAAGAACATTAGACTTTTATTGAGAAGGAAAATCGTCAAGAGCCCATTGACTATCAAAGAGAAGGCAATTTTAAGTAAATTGTCCGAAAATAGAACCGCTGAAGATAAAGCGTATTTGTGTAAGGTTATTAGCGGTCTTAAATGCTTCAGAAAATATCCAACAAGCGTGAAAGTCAAACTGGCTGCTGTTACTTATTTTGCATACTATGGACCTGGAAGGGTTATTGTTAAACAAAGACACTTACCACAAGGTAAAATATTATATGAATAATAGTGCCAATTGTTTTTAAATGGGAAGGATGTAAATCAACAATGGCCAAGTTTCAAATTTCCGTCCTTGTTTTCTCTAAGTGAATGTAATTTTTTTTTTAAATAAGTAAAAAAAAATATTATAACATGGGTGGTAAAAAACAATAAGCAGGATTTGCTTCATTTTCGAATGTAGAACGAGATATTGTACAAATGATACAAGTATTAGAAATTAAAAATTTAAAAAAACCGACTTCAAAAACGTACAGATGCCATCACTACATCTTAACTAAATTTATATGGGACCACCCTTGAGGTACCTCCTTGCTAAGTACCCCCTTGCTAACAAAAAAAAAGAATCATGTAAATCGGACAAGGTGGTAAAGCATTATCGCTAAACATACATAAAAAATGAAGAGTTTGAGGATTTTCTCGTGGACCCAATTATTATATTTTGACCAAATTCAGATGGTACCACCCCTGAAGTACCCTCTTTCTAACAAAAAAAGAATCATTGATATCGGACAAAGTGGTAAAGCATTATCGCTAAACATACATAAAAAATGAAGAGTTTGAGGATTTTCTCATAGACCCAATTATTAGATTTTGACCAAATTTATATGGGACCACTCCTGAAGTACCCCCTTTCTAATAAAAAAAGAATCATTGAAATCGGACACCGTGTTAAAGAATTATTGCTGAACATACATAAAAAAAAAAAATATCGCGACGAATTGATAACCTCCTCCTTTTTTGAAGTCGGTTAATAAAACTAAGAGAAAATAAAGCAAAATTATTTAAAGTCTTTTTAAAACTACAAATTACAATAATGTGTATATTTCAAAAAGAAATATTTATTGACAACTAAATACAAACTATATCTTGCAGAGTGTAGTTATTTTGCAAATATTATTTATTTATATGGCATACAATTTTATAGTATACCTAAAAACGGCATAAAGTACACATTAAAAATTTATATTAGGAAAGACAGTTTTTTTCTTTCAATTAATGAGTTTTACTACTTTAATTTTTTTTTCTTGTACCCCAATTTAATAATCGTAAATTTTTTTGTGTGGCTATTCTAAACGTGTAGAGTAGTCCAGCGTTTCTCAACCTTTTTTGGCCCTCGGACCAGTAGATTTGTTAAAAAAAATTGCGGACAGTAAATTGCGTGAGAGTAAAATTTCTCCGCGGACCACTAATGGTCCGGCGGACCAGCGGTTGAGAATAGCTATAGTAGTCAACATGCAATTACTAGGATTGATAAACAATTTCCAGTGACGATGTTATTTGTAAGTTACACTTTTTGAAAGATGATCTTTTGAAATATTATGTTTCTCCAATTTTGTAAGGTACTTTTTTAAAATGTTTTGTTCAAAATGACACAAAGAAAATTAAAATCTCGTGCAAACAACCTACCACCAACAGTCCATTTGACGAACTTTATAAAAACGAGGACGAAAATTTTAAATTTGACCATTGTCGTTTAGGTTCTTTTTCTCTAGTCTTTATAGTTGTAAATAATAATGAGGGCTAATAGAAGTAATTTTGCCTCTGGATCACGCTACTGAGACGTAAGGTCTAAATGCCAATGATACTTAAAGGTCGGTGCTGCTCACTGTTCATAAACAACTACGGTGGCCTTTTCCTTTGACGAGTAGTGGGGATAATACGTCACAAAAATATAAATAAGATGAGACAAAATATTTAGCTGATGTTTGTATGTAAGATTTTCTTAAAAAATCTGCAATTTTGTTAATGTTGATAATCATTCTATTTTTAGTCTATTTTACATTGTTAGAGTTTTAATAATATCAATACTTTGTGTGAAAGAGTTTGCGTCGTACATTGCTACAAGACGGTCTGGTGTACAGTATAAAAAGTGGTTCAGTTTTACCGATAAGTATTTCAATTTATTTATTTTAATTTATTTCATTAACGTAAGAATTTACTTTGTGATAGATAATCTATTAATTCAATAATAATGGATTTCGACTCGGGCGGCGATACGCCGCCCGATATTAATAATAAAGAGAACAATGTATCTCAAATTCTGGTAATAAGCTTTGAAAGAACATTTGATTTAAATAATAGATACCAACAAACAGATTCGCTTGTGAACCATGCTGTAATCATAAAAAACAATTTTGTAATCATAAAAAACAATTTAGTAGCTTATATTCCACAATTTTTTACGAATACAAAAGGAATAGTTTACATGGTAGACACATATTTTAATTATGAATATCTCAAAGAATATCGAATCTAATGTGAAAGTTGTTAGCGTGAAACGTCTAATACGTAAAATAACCGATACTGAAACAAAACAAATTATATACGTAGATAGGCAAATGATAATCGTGACATTTTTGGAAAATAAAATTCCAGATTGTATTAAAATTAATATGGTAAACTTTTATGTTGAACCTTATATACATCCCGTAGTACAGCGTTTTAATTGTTTGCGTTACGGTCACACACAAAAGCAGTGTAAGGGTAAAAAGAAATGCCAGAATTGTTCCGATGAGAATTGTTCATTGGATCCTTGCGGTGAAAACAGAAAGAGATGCAGTCACTGCAACAGTATCGATCACAATTCGACTTCAAAAAAATGTCCAATTTTTAATAAACAATTTGAAATTAAAAAGGTTATGGCTTTAGAGAATGCGTCTTTCAAAGAAGCAGAACTGATGGTTAATAATCCCGCATATGCAAAAATTAACACCAACAATCGATTTGCATTACTAGCTAATTCAACTAATTTTCCGGATTTACCAACTCCAACAGCTCCTTACAGCTCCATTTTAAGAAAACCGAAACCACCGTCATCCCCAAAAATTTCTAATACCTTGGTAAAAAAACGCAAAACGTCCTCACCACCCTCCTCGCCTACAGTCATTAATGAGAAAAAATCAAAATCTGGTTCCTCAATCCTTCCGAATTCATTCAGAGATGATTTTCAATTATATAAAGAACAAATTATTCCAAATAGAAAATTTGGTTGGTGATATTTTGTGCAATAAAATTAAATATAGATCAAAATGATTTTAGAAATTTAGTTAGTAAAATGTTTGAGAATCCTGAAAATAAAGAAAATTATAATAAATATATAGATACGGATACTGACGATGGCGATGACTACAAAACATATTAAAAATTCATATAATTTTAGAAACTCGATAACTATATTACAATGGAACAGTAGATCAATTTCAAAAAATAAAGCAAGCCTTATTAATTTTATAAACAATCATCAAGTAGACATCATAATTGCGGAACTTTGGCTAAAACCCGGCAATAAATTCTATTTAAAAGGTTTTAATCCTGTAAAAAAATGCAGAAATGATGGTTTTACGGTGGTGTTGGTATTTTTGTTTCTCAGGCACTAGATTATACAGAAATGAAGCTATCTCTAAATTATAATAGTGATATAAAATGTGTGCAATCTCTATCAGTTCAATAAATAGATGCTTTGTATCAGTTTATAGACCATCAAACGTGGCGGCCAATCAAACAGATTGGATAAATTTATTCGATCAGTTTGATATGCCCACTATTTTTTGTGGAGATTTCAATGCTCATCATGGCATGTGGGGTTCCATCACAGATGACTTAAGTGGCAAAATCTTGGTAGAAGCCATAAAACATCTCGATTTAATTGTACTTAACGATGGCACTCCTACTAGAATTAATCCAAATGGGAATCACTCAGCATTAGACTTAACCTTCACTTCTCACGGAATAGAGGATAGAATAAACTGGTCAGTTTTACCAGACACCATGGGATCCGATCACTATCTGATAATTATGGAATTTTAAATTAAATGGAACGTCAAACGTGCAGATAGGAAAGAATTCCAAAATGTTTTAGAACCGGAAATTATCAAAAACCAATCTATTTACACAGACAGTGATGAAAAAATAAATATTCTTTTTGAAATGATTTCCAATGCAGCCTCTGTCAATGCTAACAAAAAAATCGTTTACCACCTCTACTCCGAGACCAATCTGGTGGGATATTCATTGTTCCGAAATACTAAAAAAATGCTCAGAGGCATTAAAAAACTACAGGAAATAGAGTAACTTCAATAACTACCTTTATTATGAAAATATTGCTGCTCAATCCAAATTACTATTTAAATGTAAACAACGAGCTAGTTGGATTGTATTTATAAACAAACTAAATCAAAATACTCCCCTAACAGATACGTTAAATCTATCAGTAATAAATATTTGCAAAATAAAAAAAAACTAACCCAAAATTTAATTGATAAATTTTTAGACAAATTAGCTCCTCCTTCTGTTTTAAACATTGTCCAAGAAAACGTTAGTCAACTTTCATTTCATTCCAGCAATGACAATTTATCTAGTTCTTTCTGCATGAGCGCATTGGATTTAGCACTAAAAAATAGTCGTAGTACGGCACCAGGAATTGATGGCTATACTTATAAAATACTTTACAACCTTCCTACAACTGCTAAAAATATTATTTTACAGGTTTTTAATAACTGGTGGCTCAAATAAGAATATTTTGAAAGTTTTAAAAATATAATAGTTTGCCTCATTTTAAAGCCACACAAGGACCCTGATCTACCGTCATCCTATCGACCTATTTCCTTAATTTCTTGTCCCACTAAAACCTTTGAACGACTAATCAAATTAAGGCTGGAACATTTCATAGAAAATAAGTTGCTACTGCCGCCAGCACAGTATGGTTTTCGTAGAGGGCTAGGTACTATAGATGCAGTGAGCCATCTTGTATCTGATATCCAAATATGTTTTTCCACAAATCAGTATATGTTGTGTCTTTTTGTTGACCTGACTGGGGCTTATGATGTAGTAAATCTGAACATTTTATTAGAAAAAATGACAGAGATTGGAATTAGTAAAAAAGTGTCAGTTAATATAATAAATTTATTTACGAATCGAAAATTTTTTATTCGTGATCATAGAAACGTGCTACATGGTCCTCTTACTGTAGTCAACGGTTTACCTCAAGGGTCCATTTTGAGCTCGCTGCTTTTTAATATCTATACCGCTAATCTGCATACATTAGGTAATGGGCGAGCTAAGATTATTCAATACGCAGACGATTTGTGTTTTTATTTCACCCACAATTCATATGAACAATGCGTTAATGATCTAAAATGGTTTTTTCATGGTAAGTGGTTTGACGATATGGGTTTCAGTATTTCAATAGGAAAAACAGCTTTGGTATGCTTCACTCGTCACAGACTTAATCCATCAAAAGCTATAAATATATGTGAATATGCAATCCCATTTGCCGATGAATCTAAGTATTTAGGTATAGTTCTTGATAAAAAAACTTCTGTGGACTAGCCATATTAACTATACAAAACAAAAGTGTGAAAAAGGTATCAATATTCTACGTGTTGTCTCCAGACAGAAATGGGGCGCTGATACCAATATTTCCTTACTTTTTTATAAATCATACATTCGTTCAATTTTGGATTATGGGTGTACTCTGTATGGTGCATCATCTAAAAGAAATTTACTGGTAATCGATCGTATTCAGTATAAATCTATAAAAAAATGTCTAGGCGTGATAATCTCATCACATAATGTTGCAGTCCTAGCGGAAGCCCAAGAACCTCCGTTATTTTTAAGAAGAAAATATTTAGCTGAAAAACAACTTATTAAGTATAGAACATTTAACACGAATATGATCACTAAAATTTCAAATATAAACACTAGTAACCTTACCTTACCGAACAGGCGGATAAAAAATTCGCCTCCTTTAGCTGATGCCTTTACTGATAACAGTCTCTGCATAAAATACATTATGAATAGTAACCTCCTCCCTATATATAAATAAGACTATAAAGTATTAATATTTAGGCCAATATTTATTTTTCCAACATATACTGAGATACCTAGCCTAAACAAAATACTCTTAAAATCCGTACTGAGCAGGATGGGTACAAACTCCATACACATTTTTACAGATGGGTCCAAGGATGACGGTGGGACAGGAGCAGCATTTCTTGTTTCCAATATAAATTATATTGAAAAGTTCAGTATACCTCATCTGTTTTCAATTTTCACAGCAGAAGCTGTAGCCATTAAAGAGGCATTAGAATGGTGCAAGTTAAATCCAATTCAATCAGTAGTTATTATGTCAGACTCTAAGTCTGTTCTACAGGCTATCCAAGACTCTCCAGTTAACCACAGCAAACAAGAAATTATCTTTGAAATAAAAAACTTATTGAGCTTGTTATCAGACTCAAATAAGAATATCTATTTTGTTTGGGTAAAACGCCATTGCGGGATAGAAGGAAATGAAAAAGTAGATCTGGAAGCTAAGGAGGCTTGCAGGACAGGTGCAAACACAAAATTGGCTGCATTTACTGATATTATGAATCATCAAAAAAAATATATTAGAACTAGATGGGAAAGTTATTATCGCGATTATGTAACCAACTCTAAAAGTCAATATTTTCAAATTCACCCGTCTTTACCAAACAAAATTCCGCATATAACCATTTTTGATTACAAAAAAAATTGCACGTCTCTAAAATCTCGGCTTAAATTGAATCATGGTCGATTTCCTTTTCATTTGCACAAGATAGGTTTAAGAAGCACACCTGACTGCGAGTACAATAGTAATGCAGTAGCAGATCTGAATCACCTGTTTCTCGAATGTCCACAGTTTTCTGCACAAATTTCAGAACTCTATAATTCTTTATGTCTTCAAAACTTTCCATGACCTTTAAATGTGGTAACACTTCTGCCAAGCAACAAGAAATATGTTTTCGATATTTAAATTAAGTTTATTCTAGACACCAAAATAGAGATATAGTTATCTAGTTTCCTCGTTTACACATTTGATTGACTTAATCATTCTGTGGCTAATGGACAATGTCCGAGGCTAATTTTTTCTTCACACTCACACACACTTGATTGTGTGAAAGGTAACTTAAAAAAGAGCAAGGAAAAATGATGGAATGATTTCCTTAAAATTTCGGATAAATGACTTTATATTTGAATTAAAAATATATATTTTCCTTTTTTTTTAAAATAAAAAAGAAAATTATTTCATTGATCGTTGTGATTGAACCCGCGTCGCGATGTGGTCGAACCATGCTAATTTATTAAATTTGCTCCTTGCGATTTTTTGTCCTTATCCTTATAGTCTCCTTCGATAAATCTTCATCAGTGTAATACTGGTCTAGCTTTGTTTCTTCCATTGGCGTTGTGAGATTTGTTGCCTGACTTTTTTTAAACACTGTATATTTGTTTTGCTTCTCTGAAAAGCTTCGTTGCATTTTTTCATTTGACCTTGCATTTTGCTAATTTTTTCGTTAAGCAATTATTTTCATCATCTGCTTTTTTCCACGCAGACTATAAGGCTTGTTCATATTTTAGTCTCTCACTATTTTCGTGACATAATATCGCCTTAGTAAGATCAATGTTCACTTTAGGCTTTTGCGGTGACTGTAAGTACACGTACACTTGCACTTCCACTTTATGCACTATTTCGTGATAACTTACGGTTGTTCCTCTTATTGACAATATTGTTTGTTTATTTTAGATAAAAATATTGTTTGTATTTTGTGACGAATTCTATAATTTACGTAGATTCGGGTGAATTCTTAACACACTCATTCGCCGTTAGAAAAAACACTAATTTCTCGTACATCAAAAATAACCAATTCATCCCATGCACCATTATTCTTTATAATATAAATTTTTTGTTTTAAAATAACTAAGATATTACATGCAAAATAAAAAAAAAAATACACATCATCTGAACCATTGATATTAAGAGGCTACCGGTTTTGGCGCAAGGGTCATCATCATGCCTCCAAAAATACCCTTTACGATTAACTTATTTATTAGCAGAGCATAAACCTAAAAGACACTTAGTATAATTTTATGTATGTTATGCTTACAAGCGTGATTAGAGGTATGATTTTTGAGATGTATCGGGATGATCGTAGAAAAAATTATTAAATAATAACTTGGTTGTGTTTTAGCGATGTATTACATAGTAACTGGTGAGTGCAAAATATCAACGAACTACTATAATAAACTTCTGGATGAATGGGCAGTAGACGACATAGGAATTCTTCACCCTGGTAACATGTTCGGCGAAGTAGCTTTATTGCATGGCACTCCCAGAATGACCACCATCACAACTCTGACGGACGTAGAATTATTGGTGATCAAACGTGAAGATTTTGATTCGGTGCTTAAAGAAACAGTCATGAAAGAATGGGCCGAATTGCGCCAAACTATCGACAGCTTTCCATTCTTTGACGTTTGGAATCATTTTATCAAGACAGAATGTAGCATTGTGTCCAGAATTAGGTCGTTCGATCCGGATGAAACTGTCTTAGGAGATGGAGTGGGGTTGACTAATTTTGTCCACTTTATAGTTTCTGGTACGTTATCACATGATGGACCTGATTTTATTATTAACCAATTTTTCCCAAAAGCAGAATCACGTAAATCTGCTCGGATAGAGAATAGCATACCATTCCAAAAACCCGCACATATGTTATGGCTGCTTGGGAAAAGTTACTGATGAAATACAGATATAGAAATCTTAACGCAGACTCCATATTAAAATAAAAGGGACAATGTATAATAGGACCACATAGGAAACAAAGAAAGATTGTTAAGTAGCGTATTACCTATTCTGTAGCCTGGCGCACGGAGCCTACGACTTCCAGCTCACATCCACTTACTTCTGTTCCCAATTGATTTGATTTATATGGTCTGCGTTTAAATTTCCAAATCTGTATATACTAATTACCTATTTGAGTCACGTACAACTTCCCAACAATTAAAGGCACTGTAATTTAGCTAATCGCCATTTTAGCATAGTAACATCTCACAACTAAGCAAATATTCTGCACATCGTGATCCTCTCTATTTAAACAGATTACAACGTTGTCGACCTTGCTTAGTAAACAGAAATTAAGTCTACTTTATTTTTTTATGTTCCGTAGCAGAAATATATAATACGAGTCGAATTGTGAGATGTTGACGTGTAGTAATAACAAATATGTTGTTATTGACAGGTTACGGTATGGAAACCCTGTGGGCCTTAAAGGATCAATGATATATTATTGCCATTATCTGAACGAATATATTTTATATCTATTTGATGTAGTGAGAACCCTGCTAAAAAATTAAATCCACCAATCACAGTTCATATTTCGGTCACCCGTCGACAATTATTTTTTAAATAAGTGACAATTCTGTCAAACTATTTTTCAGTATATTTTTTAGTTATTTAGTTTAAATATATATTAAAATGACTTATTTTTGTGTAGAATCGTTAAATAAAAGTATTTTTATTTTTATTTATACTATAATTCTAAATAAGTTGTTAATTTTAATAAAACTCGTATTAAAAAAAATCCCAAATATGCTGGTTGATGGGTGGTGAAAGTGTCTTTCTTCGACGCGAGAAACCCAAGTTCCAGCCTTGGCTGGTTACTTTTAAATTAAATCCCTTTTTTCTTTTCGTTTATTTTATTTTAAAAATTATTAAAAGTCATAAATTATTTTAAAATTAGTTATTTTGTCTTAATAATTAAAATATTTTTTTTATTTAGAAATTTTCGTAAGTGGGTCGTAGAAAAAATATATTGTACAGCTCGAGTGGATTGTCCACATCGCACTCAGAACATTGAGCATTCCGTCTATGGCGTCGTATCCTAATTTCGTCTTTGTGCGATATGGCCATCATATCCACTCTTGTTGCACAAACTACTATTTTCTACATGAATATGCATAATTCAAATTTATTTGTATTTTTTTTCTCACGCGTGCGGTATTTGCAAAGATTATTTATCAATATAAACATATAAAATGTATATTTCAATAACCAAAACGATTTTTGTATATTTTTTGTCACCTTTTGTAAGAACTTCTCATTGACCTTTCGCATAAATCATTAATACGTTACTCTAGTAATCAATTAAATTTTTTAAACCCATCAGGATAGAGTGAAAACAGTGCAGCATGCAGTGGTTTCACATACAGTTTTGTTTGATTGGCATGTGTTGAAACAAAAGATAATTGTTACTGGTTGATGTATTATAGTGTTAAATAATCAACTTGAACAGTCATAGTTCAGATGTGGGGATGGCATTTAAAAAAAAATGATTTGCTATTTATTTATAGAAAAATCTTATACCATACATTTTCATAAGATATAAAAGAAATATATCTATATATAAAATAAATTGGAACGGTCTTTCTTTAAATGTATTTCGGAGTATGTATTAAGAATAATAAAAAACCATGTTGGTATCGTTAGCCTTATAAACCGGTATTTCGTACAATTTGGAAATCGTTGCTTATTCACCAGGATCATTCTATATTTTCTCAAAAACAAATATTAGCTCGACCAATATTATTCAAAAATATTTAAGTGTTGAATACCTTAATAATTCTATAGCAATATTTAATACAAATTGTTGCATTTAAAAAATATGTTGCTTTTATTTACTAAGCAAAAGCGCAACACCCTACATATTAAAAAATATTTTTAAAATTTGCATCTTTTTAAATCCATAAAACTTTCGTTTAAAGTTTGCGTGGTATAACATATCAATGAAATACGGAATAAAAGGACACTAGGTATACATTATACATACATAAAATACATACGGGTTACTTTAAGGTATCTATCGGTGCTTATGAGGATTGCTCTCTCAAAGCATTTATACAGGGATAAGCATATTAATGGCTGAGCTTTTTTACGTCAAATTTTAAATAATGAATATTTGCGTTTTCCATTCTATTGGTTTAGACTGTATATATTTTAAAATACAACGTACTTATAAATTAAAAATAGTAGTTTGTGCAACAAGAGTGGATATGATGGCCATATGGCACGAAGACAAAATTTGAGCACGACGCCGTAGAAGAGTGCTCAATCGTCTGAGTGCGATTTAGACAATCCACTCGAGTTGTATAGACTATAGAATATTTTTTCTATTACCCACTAACGAAAATTTACAAATAAAAAATTATTTTAGGTTATTAAGACAAAATAACTAATTTTAAAATAATTTATGACTTTTCATAATTTTTAAAATAAAATAAACAAAAAAAAAAAAAGAAAAAAGTTCATTTAATTTTTCCCCATCAGAGAATTGAACTCGAGTCTTCAATATGAAAGGTAAGAACGCTATCAAAATTCAAATTTTTAAACTATGCCTTTTTCAAATTCATACTTTTGTTTTACCTTACTTATGTGTCTATAATACAAATTAAATTATTAGGAAAATAAGCACTGTACTGTCTTTGTACATAATGTTAAGAGAAGCAATCTCAAATATAAGCTATGAGAGATAATGTGAACTGTATATTTTCTAAATCCATATGTCGCTGTTTCTTTTTGCACTTTCAGTGAAATCATACACGCTCAAGTTTTTAACAACATTTAATTTCAACAACTAATCGCCATTGGCTTGAACAAAACTTCAACAAGAAAAAAATAGCAGGTAAAAAGTCTTAGAAATTCCACTCGCGAACTCTCGATCACCAGCACTACGTTTCACTTTTACAGTATTAAGTTTATTGGTTTTAGATTGAATCAGAGAGAGTAGAGACCTTAGCCCTTTTCATCAAAAAGCTCAGTTGAGTTGTGACTTATGAGAGACGAGAGAGACTGTGTAAAAATATGGCGTGAGCTGGGAAAGGAACCCCTTCTCCTTCTTATAATTTTAAGTACCAACTTGAAGAAATAAAGATTACTAATAAAAATAAACAAAAAGGCTGTAAAGTATATGCATCCAACAATACAGCTCCAAGATATAAAAATTGCCTACCTATTGGAGAGACTATGTCTTGAACAAGCACTAAATCAGAGGTTCCCAAACTCTTTTGTTTCATAGACCACATTCAGAATTTTGCTGGATCCGGTGGACCTCCTGTAGCTACATCACTACCAATTTCTAAATCTCGAAAAAAAAAAAAGTGAAGATTAGATCTATCTATGGAAACTTGCGCTGTAGCTGAGTTTTAACGACAAATTAACAGTTTTCGAAAAAAGAAAAGGTTAGAATTGATTGCTTGATAGGGTTAATTATTTGATAATAAAGTCGACTAAACAAATTTTCAATTAAATTTTAATTGATTATGCTGTGAGTGGATGTCAAAAAAGCAAAGTTGGCCAAACGAAAAAGTGACTCTATCCAACTTTACTTTTTTGAAATCTAAAGTGACTCACAGCACAAGTACCAATCAATTCTCACAAATTTTATTTAGAAAACGTCCCATTCGGAGTGGTAAAAAGAAATATAGTATATTTCCTTGTGTTGTAGATATTTATAAAAATTTAAATATATAAGTTTGTAACGGCACTAAAACTTTTTTCGATAAGATATGACGAAGGGAAACGCTATCAGAAGCTTTTGCAGAATTCTCCACAGTCCAGAATATTTTTCGAGTATTTCTGTCTGCAGCCAAAATTTTTGATACCCTCTTTTAAATGTCACTTTCAGCTCCTCATTAGTGCTAAGCTCAAATAGCTCCTCTTGTAATATCACATTCTCCACTTCCGGTTCATCAAATGAATTTATAATTCATGGTGGTATTTCCATCGACACTATATCTTCAAATCTGATTTTAAAATCATCATACAGGGCAATCAAATGTTGAACGTATGTCTGAATATCTTCATCAAGGCATTCTACCTGCGACCAGTTTGAAAACTGTGAAAATTCGCGCCGACCAATATTTTCCTTCATAAATTTTAATTTACCAAGAAAAGCTGAAATTACACTCTTTGTTTTTATTAAATTGAGGCTGTCCCCTTGTAATTGTAAGTTAAGGTCAATACATTTTTTGAACAAATCTGTCTGCTTTAAAACTGACCAATTTTTTTTTTAAATCAGGATCTTTACTTTCCAAAAACTCTAAAACTGTATAACTCTAATAAACACTACATAAAATTAAATATTTAAATAAGATTTAAAGAAAAGTTATTAGGATTTAAAAAAACCAAACGCCTTAAAAAAGTCATATGCATTAAAAATATTCTAAAAAATTGCCCTAAAAATGTAAAAAAATGGAATGAAATAGAAAGGTTTTCTTATAGAGACTTGAATAAAATATATTATTTTTTATTCAATTTACATTTTCAAAAGAATCATTTGGAAAAAGTGAGAGAATTTCTACTAGAAGTATTACGTGAGCCCCCCTATACTACACCCTAGATAAAAAGCACATATTTTGGAAAAAAGAGGTGTATATCAAAATTTTGTGATATACACGATTATTTTTGGATCAAACGACTTACCTGAAGGAAGTTAGATCCTAATTATGCGAGCATCCTTGTTAGTGGAAATAAAGATAACCATATAGTATACCTATGTTACGCCGCTGAGCCACACGTTCAGATTTAAAATTTATTATATAT